GTACAAGTTACAAGTGGTATCTACAAGTGGTGTCATTCCAACAATCAAGTGACGTCCATAAAAAATACAAGATTCAAGCCTCAACCATCTACCCCAAATGCATACCTTTGCATCAATGAGAAGCACACCTTTTATGGAAATTGATGACAAAGGGGGAGAGATTGTACAAAGATATGAAAGCCTTGAGACTAAGATTGTACAAGGGGGAGAGATAAGATATGAAAGCTTTGAGAGAGGATTGAGACAAAGAAGTAGAGGTTGGACATGGACATGGACAAAGAGGGAGCAACATTGAAGAAAAGAGATGGATCAAAATTCTTGGACAAGAGAAGCACACAAGTAGGGGGAGCAAGCTCATGAACTTTGATTGATTGTATTTGATATGTGCATATTCATGTGATTGCTTGCATTGCATAAGTTCTTAAATTCAATATGCATGCTTGTGTGATGTATGCTAGTTGTATAATTTAATTGATGAAATGAAAACTAGCATGCATAGGATGATAGCTAGACACTTGGTATGCCTTTCAAGTAATGCTAGTACCTTGCTTTTAATGTTGATCTCACGAGGTATCTAGCGCTTTTATTTCCAAGTGTTATCTAGCTAACCATGGTGCTAAGGATGAACTTAAAGGTACAACTCCGATTGGTATCACACTTTAAAGGTTTACTCTATACACCTTAGCATCATTTGGTAGTAATTACTCTCCCATAATTCCAATCTATGCATATGTGCGAGCTTCAAACCAAACACTCTAGCACATATGTAGGGGGAGCTAATACTACCGTTTTGGGTTTGTGGTACTTGTCCAAAATTATTTACACATGGTAAAATTGCTTGGGCAAGCAACATGAATCCAAAAGAGCTTAATTTCCATATCTTTGTAGAGTTGTCATCAATTATCAAAAAGGGGGAGATTGAAAGGTCCTTGTGTGGTTTTTGTAATTGAGTGACAACCTAGGTGGACTAATTATGTTTATGTGAGATACACAGGTGATTAGTCCAAAGGTACATGTGTGTGAGCAACATATGCCATGAAGGTGAAAATGGCTTGGAGATATTGCAAAGCTCACACATGTGATGATGAAGGAGCTCATTGCACATGAGACATGACATTGAGTCATGTGATCAAGGTGGAGAAGATCAAGACATAATTTGGCTTGATGGACCGATTGCAAGAGTGAAGGGCAAGTCGGAGGCTTTGGAGCGATGGACCGCGTGGCGGTGAAGCTTGAGCAAGACTTGGCGCTAATGGACGAAAGCCAACGGTGAAAAGCAAGTGAAGTTAAGATCGATGAACCAATATGATTACATGATGACATGAAGTGAATCATATCATTGTTGATCGTGTTGGTGCATGTGTTGCACCGACATTGGAGGAGATGGAATGGAATGCTCAAGGCAAAGGTATAACCTAGGGCATTTCATTTCACCGGTCATAGGTGTATAGAGAAGTTGATGACCGGGTTTAGGATAAATGGCCGTAGTATCAAGAGGGGCAAACTTGTTTGCATATCGGTCATCTAGTGCCACTCGAGTGATCTAACTTTGCATCGTTGCTAGGATTGAGTGGCGTAGCAAGTTGAGTGGCTAATCCTTTGGAAAATGATTGTGAAAATGCTAACACACATACACATGGTGGTGTACACTTGGTGGTGTTGGCACATTTACAAAGGAGATGAAGTTGGAGTTGATGTGAATCAACTCGGCAATGAAACGGAGGCGAGAAGGGTTCAAAACGCCACCGGCTCCCTGTACAGAAAAGATAGAGTTTCACAGAGTGCATCGAACGCTGATCACGTAGTGACTGGACGCTGGGGTCCTGCGTCCGGCCAGTGGCAGCAGAGAACGCGTAGGCATCGGTCTTCGACCGGACGCTGGGGTAGAAAGTGACCAGACGCTGGCGTTGAAAGTGACCGGACGCTGGCTGGGTGCGTCCGGTCGCGCTGGTGTGGTGGCGCATAGAGGAGACAGTGAGTGATCGGACGCTGGGTGAGTCCAGTCGGGCATGACCGGACGTGTCCGGTCACGAGTGGAACCTTACTGGAAGTGAGCGGACGCTGGGGTCCTACATCCGGTCATACACTGTGCTGCGTCCGGTCGCAACTTAACCGTTTAGATCGGGCGCTCAGTATTTGAAGCCAGGGATGATGTGGCAGCCATTCGTTGACCGAACGCTGGCTGGGTGTGTCCGGTCGATCTGACCGGAGCGTCCGGTCACCCTGAGTTTTGCCCAGTGAAGGGGTAACGGCTATTTTAGCCCATGGGACTATAAATAGAAGGTAGTCTCGGCCATGGCTTGGGCTAAGCACCTCAGGGGACTTTGTGTCCATGCTTGAGAGTGCTTGGGAGCCCTCCATCTCATATATGCTTGATAGTGATCATCCGATTGTGTGAGAGAGCGATTCTAGTGCGATTAGTGCAATTGCATCGTGAGGTTGCATCGAGTGGCACTAGGTAATCGAGTTGCAAGCCGAAGGTGCTTGTTACTCTTGGAGGTTGCCACCTCCTAGATGACTTGGTGGTGGTCTCCGTTGAAGCCCTCAAGAAGCTTGTGCGGTGCTCCAGAGAAGAGCTTTGTGAGGGGCATTGTGCTCGCCCCATGGGAGCTGCAAAGAGCAACTCTAGTTGAGCGTGTCATTGAGCTACCCTCACTTTAGGGGTAGGTTCTTACGGTGCCCGACGTGCGGGCTTAGCGGGTGATGCCAATTAGCCACCGAACCACCAAGTGAGCGGTCGACACAACGGAGACTAGCGTGTTGGCAAGCACGTGAACCTCGGGAGAAAAATCACCGTGTCAACTTTATTCTTACCATTGGTTTGCATCCTCGTTACACAAGCTTGTAATTACTTTCATATACATTGTGCTTGTGTAGTTGCTCTTGTAATTAGTTTGTTTGTATAGCTCACTAGTTACCTTGTTTGTGTAACCTTGTTAGTCACTTTGCTTAGTTTGAGTAGCTAAGTATTTACGTTCTCTAATTTGACATTGGTTGTCTTATTATTGAGCATTGATAGTGAGCTTAGTTGGCTTTATGCTTTTGCTTACTAGCATGTGTAGGAGCTCCCCATTGGTTAAAGTACTAGTGTCATAGGTTTGTGTGATCTTACTTCTAGAATTGATTAGGTGAGCTCTAGCTAGCCCGGCACCTTTGTTGCTTAATTATGATCTTTGTAAGGTGCTAGAGAACATAGATAGAGGGGTGTAGTCTTGGTTAAACCGATAGTTTTAATACACACTCGTTTCGGTTAGCCAACGCGATTAAGTTTTAGAAATGACTATTCACCCCCCTCTAGTCGCCATCTCGACCCTACAGTTAGCCACCCATTGGTAGGACCCACATTTTATCCCCTATTACTTTCTTCCTCCTTTCGTCACCTACGCAGGTCCGTCCATAACCTCGGCCCCAACCATTGTTGCCACATCTACAGCAGCCCTGACCGCAGTCCATGCTACCCAGGTGCGTCGTCCCCTCTGCCGACATTGATGAGCTTGCCCATCCGCGGGGGCCGTGGCTGAGTACCATGACGGGTTGTTGAACGCCACCGTTAGATGACAGATTTATATTGGTTTATGTATGTGGTATCCTACATCCAAAATGACAATTTTATTGTTTTTGTGCCTGCGAGTAGGGGATCACAACTATGAGTCTATGGGTGGTGCTATCTCGAGAGGAAGAACTCGCTCTATGCAGGATACATTGTGATGATCTTCGGATGACCGATTAGAGGCTCCCTACTCCTCCTTATATAGTCCTGGGTTATGATCTATCTTGCTATATCTTGTCCACCAAGTAGATAAGATATCCTGTCCTTTTTAGGTCTCTTGTGTAGCTTGATCGATACAACCTGACCTATTTCATTGTTTTTCATTAAGACAAGGGTACCAGGGTACCAATAACCAACAATAACTTAATGTATAAAGATAAAAAATATATATATTTGGATTTGTTATGAATCAAAACACAAAAAAATATTTTTTTGTGTGCTTGAATAATATAAAAATGATTGTTTTTGTTTTTATTCATATAAGGGCATAACTTGTCCAAAACTCACGAAACTTGCAAAATAGTTTTTTCTTGAAAATAATTTGGTGCGGTAATTTTTATATTCAAATATAGTGTTAACTAATAATAATTTTCTCTAAAATTTAGCTTATACTAAATGTTAAAAATAGCATTTTACTACAAATAAGGAAGCCTCCATTTTCCTAAAAACACTTAGTTCACATACTTTATAGGAGAAATATATATCCTGACTGACTAATGTCGTATTAACAGGGTTTCTTGTATTTCTCATCGTGTACCTAGCATATGAATTGCCATCTTTTTATGCATTTCTCTCATGTATACCTATCATAATTCATAAACATAGATAGGAGCATTGTTGAGCGTGATCCTGAGGAAGAGCAATAGTACAAGGAGGTGATCGATGAATACAAAGACGGCGTTCGGCTGGTCTGAAAATTCCAGATCAGCCGGCTGGTCCGACTGCTTCTCCTCATATTGCTACAGTGCATGTTCCAGCCGTTACAGTATTTCTCTCTCGTACAACCAGCCGCTACAATATTTTATCTTATTTTTTTTCAGACAAGCGAACAGGGCCAAAGAGAAGATCCCTAGTGACGCAGCATCTGAAAGAACCACCACTGTTACTTCTCAATTCATTTTTTTTCAAGGAGTGAGGCAATCTGTACCCAAGTGTCACGAACAATGTTTTTTTTTGACCGCACTGTCACGAACAATGTTAATTGCATATATTAATAATTTGGCCACCAATTGTTTTAGGACTGAATACAAAATTTGATAAATATACGCTGGAGCAAAATTTTTATATTTTTTTGAGTGGAGAGCAAATTTTTTATATGAACGCAGAAAAATCTCCTGACTTTCCAACCCAGTCCATGTGAAACCACTTTCAAAAGGGCGAAAACGCCGCGTGCCCGCCCATCCGCCACAGCAACCAAACCCTCGCCGACGGCGGGCGGCGGCGGGCGGCCATGTCGCGCTGGAAGGAGAATGCCTCACCTCTCCCGCCCTACCTGAGCGGCGCCTCCAACCCCTCCCATCTCCTCCCCTGCAAGCGCCCGCTGCAATCCCCATCCCCATGCCCACCGCCGCGCCGGCCGCTCGTCGATATCACTGGCAACGCGCTGGAGCAGCGGGGCGGGTACGGGTATACAACGCCCCTACCGAAGGCTTCCAGGCCCTGCGGGTTCCTTCTTCACGACGACGAAGACGACATGAACGAGGCATTCTTGCGGGAGGTGGACGCCATCTGCGAGGAGCACGCGCGGTCCACGGCCAAGAAGGAGGAGAAGGAGAAGAAGCCAGCAGAGGAGCATAAGGGGACGGGCGAAGCGCCGCTCGTGGCGGCAGCGGGTACCATTGACGCCGCTGGAACAGAGATAGCAACGGTACGATTCTTGTTTCATTGAAGTGCCTGGAAATGGGGCTAGGAATCCTGCGGGTGTATTTCATTTACAAATGCTGGATATTCAGATTCTAAGGAAATATGGAGAGCCAAGGCATGTAGGACGTTATTGTGGGGTTTGCAATTTTTTCGCTTTGAAGTGGGGGTGCCTGTTAGTGTCAATTTTTGAAAAAGGAACTCACATTGTTGCTCTCTTATTTGGACGGAAATTAGCTTGACGATGCTTTCTGGGAGGAGGTGAGCGCCATCTGTGAGGAGTGTGATGCCCAGTCTGCTGCCAAGAGCCAGGAGGGGACGAAGGAAGAAGAGGAGGAGGAGAGCTTGGTGCTGTCCTGCAGTGATGCTTCACTCCCCCCTGCTATTTCCATCACAGCGGATGGTGTGGAGGTATGTGAATATTTTGTGTTCATGATGCTGGTTTCTGATTCCATGAATCAGAGGAGGAAATTGGGAAGTTCTTGTATGGAGTATGGTGCATGGGATTGTTATAGATTGGGGGAGAATCCTAAAGTTAGGAGAGTGCTTCAGAGTAACTTCTCTCTGTTTTTTCTTGAACTGAAAAAGGTGTTAGGAAATGTCTGTGAAACATAGCAAATTCATGTTTATTGCGTGTGGCGAAGATAGGAAATGAACATGGACAATTTGGGATTCATTGTTTCTTGAAAACTTGAAATTCTACTGTGTTGATGTGCCTGATTTGTAAGAGAAATTTATTGTGTTTAATCTCTGTTCAATTTCTTTTGAGGTGAATTTAGTTTGAAGATGCATTCTGGAAGATCAATGCCGTTAGTGAGGAGCACAACACCAAAGCTCATGCCAAGTATCAGGAGGGGCTCAAGGGGATGGAGGAGAAAGATGGATTGGTAGCATTGTGCGGTGATCCTTCAGTTTCCCCAGTAATTTCCATTGCAAAGGGGGATGGAGAGGTATAGCTTTTTTCTTCAGACAATGGAATGCCGAATAGTTGTAGGATGTTGGGCAGTTCTAGTTTCCTGTATCTAGAAATAAGGATCAGTACAAAATGGAAATTTGCACTGAATGGTTTTGGTCTGGGATGAAGTTTCTAACAGAGTCCATCTGATTCCTTTTCTCTTGGGACATATTTAGCTTGTCGATGCACTCTTTGGGGAGGTTGATGCCTCCATCCACGAGGGGCATGCTGATATCTCTGCTGCTAAGGGCCAGGAGGAGCAGCAAGATATGGAACTAGAAAAGGAGGAAGATGAAGCGTGTGCTCCAAAGAAGTACTATGAATATTTGCACTCCTTGAATGATAGGCAGAAGGAGGCTGCATGTAATGATGTGGCTGTTCCACTAATGATTGTTGCTGGTCCAGGAAGTGGAAAGGTATACATACTGGTCCTTTTATCGTCACAAGGTCAACCGTGGTCAACCTGATTTTGTTGTTTCACTCTGATGAAGCCTTGGATTGAAATATCTGTGGAAATCATTTTAACATATCAAGAATAATAATATGTGAACATCTAAAAAATCCATACCTTTTGTTCTTGTGGTTGCTACAAATAAATACTGACTCCAAATGTTATGGAACCCAAATGATGCGATTCACCATGACCAATTGTACTAAAAAGTAAAGTACATTGCAAGGGCTTTATTGTTCCAAACAATAAGAAGGCTGCAGAAGAACTGAACACCATGTTTTGTTGTCTGTCTCTGTCTCTCTTTTTTCGTTTAAGAATTTTTTAATATTATTTTTTATGATGATATGAAAATGAAACTTTCTTTTGATGTGCCCAAAATGGTTGCATCTCTTGTATATCTGTGGGTGATTTTTACAGGCATTATGGTTTTAGATTTTACAAAACGTGCCATTTAAGTTTAATCTGAGCTTTATTGCTCTATTGTCTTGTGACTACCATGCTTTTGAATATACTGACTCCCCCCTGTAACTGGCATGATCCCAAGACTTCCACAATGGTTGGTAGGGTGCTCACACTTCTCAAAGAGGTATGGTTTTATGTTTGGTATAATCACTATATAAGTGGTATCTAATAATATTTGAAGCTCACATAGTCACACATCTCCTAATGACTAGGGAATTCCACCATCAAACATTCTTGCTATGACATTCACCACAGCTGCTGCCTCGGAAATGAGAGAACGGATAGGAACAGTGGTGGGAAAGGCAGTTGCCAAGGAGATTGCAATAAGCACATTTCACTCATTCTGCTTGCAGCTTTGCAGAACACATGCTGAAAAGTATGTTTTTTTTTCCTGTTGATCAATTATACTTAGGTGCAGTGGATTTCTGTATGCTTCTGCTCCACAACTGAGTTGCCGTATATTAACAAAATCACACAACACTTTTAAGCTATGAAGAAAATATGAAAGTTATAGGATGAAGAGCCTGCACAAAAAATCATGTTCAATGTAAATTCATGTTATCAATATTTACTTAGATTATTTTCAGCTGTGACAACAAGCAATTAATAGTCCTAGATGCATAAATGATCATGATCACTTTTAAGCTTTATCAAATTACTTATAATATATAACTGCAATTTGATATCTAGCAAAGCCAAAATATATACAATCATAAATCAGTTTATCACACTATGTTACCGTCTTGTTTCATCTTTATGCTCTCTTTTTAATACCTTGCTGTTTCTTACAGTTTATCAAGCGTACTCACTGTTGCAGATACTTGAAGGCTTGGATATGTAGACATTTATTTAATAAATTTTTTATTTCCTCTTTATAACCATTTGAAGGCTAGGCCGCACATCTGAGTTCATAATCTATGGACATGGACAACAACGAAGGGCGGTTATTGAGGCAGAGCGTCTATTGGAAAAGGACAAAAATAATGGTGTTGGAGATACAACTAAACAGTATGATGGGGACATAAAAAATTCTTTCAAAGACAAAGCCAAAAAGTGGCAGAAATTTATTACACAGGTGCCTTCTACTTTTGATGAAGAAATATTTGTTTTCAGTGACCTCTTTGCGCTGATCCATAGGAGTTTTACAAGGATTCCAGGCAGTCACACTCACATTTCGTTACTGTTATTTTTCTGAAATTGCACAGCAAGGTTGTATCTGCCTAAACTGGTCTATATGTTTTTTTATGGACTGTATCTGCCAATTCCCACTGGTCCAATCTTCCTGCCACAAATGCATATCACAAAATATTAAAGGAACAGCTTTACCGTGCATCCAAGATATTGTCATGGTCTTCTGGAATCTGGAGGCATATAAAGCCAAATGTAGAATGGATCACTCCAAGTTTCTCAGAAAAATAAGTAATCCAAGATCCCAATATAAAGTACATAAGTGATTGAGTTCTAATTAAGATATAAGGTGAAGTTGCAAAATTATTTGCAATAGAATTGGTAGACAAATTTAAACTGGAAGATATCTCTGAACTATGTCTAAAACTATGCACAAACATCTTGGGAGTAGATCTGAAAGCTCTTCTTTTATGTCACAAGTTGTATTAATACTAGTTGACCCTAGCTCGAAAGTTGTAGCTAGGATGATATCCTATGTGGATCATATTTAGCTTCCAGTGATAGAATTGTAGTCATGGCTAGGAGTTTCATAGTTTGTACTATTTCATTGTCCGTCATATTGGTTTATGCTGTTGGGCTTACTGTTAGAATGCCTATCACACTAAACCTTGTGGATCAAACCTATTAATGTGGGCTGTGTGGAAGCAGTGTCTCTAGAGCTTTTCAGTAAAAAAATGTTTTGTATCCACAACATGGGCTGATTTGTTTCCATGTTGATTTTATGGTAGTTGCATTTTGTTTTGATCAAACCTTTCCGTCTTTCTTTAAAGGCAAAAGCTTCAGGTAGAACTCCAGAGGACTATGAAAAGAAGGGTGATTTGACAGGAGTAAGCTGCCCTACTTTGTGTCATTCATTTTTATGTGCTTCATTTTAACGACCAAATTAACAGCCTGCATTCTTTTTTGTCTAGGCTTCTGTTCTTTGGCATTACAATGAAATATTAAGATCTTGTAATGCTCTTGATTACCATGATTTTATTAACTCATCCATAACCCTTCTCACGAACTTTCCTGAAGGTAGTTTCAGTTCTAATCTCAGCACATCATTAGACTTTGATTACTTGCTGATTAAAAGGGTGTGTTCCTTGCCTGTACAGTATACAAAGAGTGTCAGGATATGTGGCGGGCAATTGTAGTTGATGAGTTTCAGGATACCAGTGCTATGCAGTATTGTCTTCTGAAGATTCTAGCTTCCCACAATCATATAACTATTGTCGGTGATGAAGATCAGGTACACAAATTTGATATACATATTATCATCCTAAAACCTTTGGTTTCTTATTTGTTTTCCCTAAGCTTTGTCTTCTCTTATGTTATGTTAGTCCATCTTCAGTTTCAATGGTGCTGATGTATCTGGCTTCGATTCATTTCGTAGAGATTTTCCAGATCACAAAGAGGTAACTGCGTTGTGCTGTTGTCTGCATGGAACTTTCAAATTGTTTTAGTCCTGTATTGTTCTGTTAAGTAGCTTGTTACGCCAATGACTGCAGATCAGGTTGAGCAAGAATTACCGCTCCACACGCGCAATTGTTGAAGCAGCAACTGCTCTAATTCAGAACAACAGTAAGCGGCATCATCGTAAGCTTGTAGAGACCGATAACCCTTCTGGTTGTAAGGTATTCTTGTAGATTGCACTGATGGATCGTTGCCATTTGTTCCCATATCCTTTCAGTTACATATCTAATACTTAACTTTGCATAGATCACTGTCAAGGAGTGCCACAGTGAAGATTCACAATGTGCATTTGTTATTGACAAAATCATTGAAACTACGTCTAGTACCGCTGAGGGGTGCAACTTTGGCAACATTGCTGTCCTATATCGAAGACAGGTTGAAAAATTTATGTAGTCTATTTTAATTTTGAACGATATTTCTTTATGCTTTCAAAAAATATGTCTTTATGCTTGCGACCTAACTTTCTCCTGCACAGGTAACTGGCAAAGCTTTCCAAGTCTCCTTCCGCAACAGGAAAATTCCCTTTAATGTTCATGGTGTGGCTTTCTACAGGAAAAAGGTAGTTGAATTTAGTATTCTTCCAACATTCGTTGCAGAGTAAAAATTTCTCATGATTTTCTGCCTTCCTTTCATAGCTATCAATTTTATAGTCCTTTGTGCCAGACTGCCAGTAACATTTGAAGCTTGGAAATTTCTTGTGCTTTCCAAATTAGGAACTGTTCTTTATCTTGGAAGGAATGGAAAAGAACCCACTGGAATGTTTTACATGTTCATATGTTATTCTAGTTCGTGATGATAAATACCTATTTATTATATCTATATACTTGTATTGATGGGGTTGATTTATGGCCTATTGTTCCAGAATTCAACCACCTGAGCTTGACACTTTTATCTTTAGCAAATCCTATGTTTTGTGTAGGGAAGCAACAATACTTGTAATAACCCTTTGCATGCAAACATTTTTGTCACAATGTAAGTGCTTTACCTTGCAATCATTCTAGGTGATCAAAGCTATCATGGCAATACTTCGGACCACATTACCTGGTTGTGATGATGGCCCGTGGCGTCAAGCCTTCAAGGCCCTTTTACCTAGTGACAAAGAAGAAAAGAAGAAGGTTCAACTTTACCTGATTAAGTTTTTATACCCTATTTATGCTAAATTTACGTAATTTTGATTATCTCTGTGCTTTCTAACCATCAGATTATAGATCATGTTGAAAAGATTTCACTGGCTAGAAAGTGTAGTTTTATATCTGCTGCTAGTGACATCTTCAGCGCTAAGGTCTCTGGTACCTTCAAAAGGTTGTTCTCTTTTCATTGTTTACTTACTGTTATCTAACATCATAAAGTTCATTGACAATCATGTTTTATATCTGATGATCATTATCGACACTTTTTATTCTTCTCTCTGCTGCTTGAGTGACAAATGGTTGTTGGCTGCTTGACAGCAAACCTTAGATGCGTGCATTAGAAGTACCAAACTTTCACATCTTGCATACAGTTTGGGGAAGAAGCTATTACATTTGTTTTTTCCCCTTAAAGAAGTTAAGCTTTCTTTGGAATTAAACCTGTTAATGAAAATCTGAATCATGTTTGCATATTCTCATTGTTATGTGGAGATTATTATCGTGTATTATATGCATGTTCTGTGTGTCTTGAGCTGTACAACCACCTCCAACTTAAGAACCATTAAACAAATCCCATTTTAATCTTAGTCTTGACACCTTTTTTCTTTGAGTTATTGTTCTTTATGTTATTTCCACGCTTAAGTGTCAAGCATAGTATGACTTTATTATGATTTTCTCATTTGTTGACACTAGGGCCCAGATTACTCAAGGACGTAAGGTTTTATCGACCTTGGATAGCCTATCAAAACTTGTTGAAAGGGTATGGAACATTTGTTCAACTGGCAATTTTGTACTGTGTATTTTGCAGTGTACAGCTATGTATTGTGTATCTTCAGTGTTAGTACATCAGTGCATATTAAGTAAAAGAAAAAAATGATTCATAAAGAAAATAAACATCTATGGAAAGTATACATAGGTAATTTACCTACAAATTTTGAGGAATTCAGCAGAGGTTCTACTATTACTTTATTTCCTCAAAACATGGTTATAGTATTATTTTAAAAGTGTATACTTTATATTATCTTGTGCTTAGTTCTTGAAGAGCTATAATTTTTTTCTTTGCTGCTGTCTATCCCAGGAACAATCAGTTTCAGTCATCATTTCCTCTGCGGGAGACATGCTACCTCAGGTACACTTAAGTCTTAACTTGTTGCAATTGTTTTCAATAAACTTCAACTTTAGTGAATTGCACGGATAGAAATAAATGACTTAAACCAAAGTTGTTCCTTTGTTTTAACAGTAATTTGTATGTGCAGTTGTGTCATTACTTCATGTTGTTAACTTGTTATAACTTATTATAGAGTAAATTTCACTGGCAGTCCTCAAACTTGTCTCGAGTTCTCATCTAGGTCTCGGTACTTTCAAATTGCACATTTAGCTCCCTAAACTTGTCCCAAGTTCTCATCCAAGTCCCAGTACATTCAAATTGCACATTTAGCTTTCTAAACTTGTCCCAAGTTCTCATCCCGGTCCTCAGTCATTGACATTATTGTTGACCCATGCATGGTTTGAATCTAGTTTTATGATCAGATTATGCTAGGTGCCTAGTGTAAATCATTTATGCTGCAAAAGTATAAAGATATGCAATAGACCTATATATACTTTGCTCAGCTGGCCCTTTGGACTGAAGGATGTTGTGCCGCACCTGGCCTGCACCTCCTGTAGATTGATCAATTGCATTGATAGGTAAGGATATCCAACGGTGGTCATACTTCTATAAACCACTCCTAGGTCATCCATGCCGATATATGCCCTTTGTCCTCAACAGCCCATAATCGATCTACTAATTTTCCCTTCAATACTTGCTTACACTAGTCATGGTAATTAAGGCCATGGGTTCAAGTACCCACTCCTTTACAACAAAGATGTTCAGTTCCTCCTGTGCCATGGCTCGGTGTTGGAGATTTTAAAATATCTCCAGAAACATTGTTTTGCAGTATTGTGCAGCCAGAGTATCTGGAGATGCCAATTGTTGGTTGTCTTCTTGTCATACCAAACCTTGAGGAACTTTTAGCTAACCGCTGCTAATCTTTGTTAAATATTTGCACTTATTTTTTATTCAACCCTTGTTAAAGTGTTTGTTGCATTTCGTTTGCAGAAATATCTCCTTGAGAAGCTTGCAGTTGTTGATGTTGATAATGGCAAATTATTAAATGAAGATAGTGATATCAGATCGGTAAGTTCAAACCCCATTGATGCACTTATTTTATACATTTATCCTCCACAAAAACTTAGTTTGGATGTTGTGCTCAGAGGAAAATTATTTCGAATAATTCTGGATGTAGCATATACAAGAGGTTATATCAATTTTCGTTGGATTAGTGCAGGTCCTTCAGTTTTTAATGGATGATGTGTCTGACTTCTTGTCAACACATTTTTCTAGTTCAATGGAGAGAAGCAAGACCGACGAGAAAGGCTGTGCTTCTACACTTCAAGCTTTCATTGATTATATATCTTTGAGGGAAACTGAAAATTTTCGATCCCGAAAGGAGGAAAATAAGAATTCTATCACATTAACAACTATTCATCAGGTCTGTTCTCTGTTCTCTTGAATTCAATTAATATTGTTGGCTATGCCATTTAGTAATCCTTTGACACTAGGAAACATGCTGATAATTCCTTTTCAATTTGTAGTCAAAAGGTTTGGAGTGGGATGTCGTGTTTATTGTGCAGGTATTTCTTCACTCTTCAGGACGAGCTTGCATATACAAATACTCCCTATTTATGTAGTGTTAGGCAGACAGTGTGGTGGCGTCTGGCACCTAATTGCTGATTAAGAAGGTGAAGCGGCCACCTACGTGGTCTAGTAGTGATTAGGTTCTACTCCTTCCGTCTAGAAATGTAGTAGGGATTACCTTAGCTAGCGCATATCGAAGAGTTGGAAACTCCCTGCCACTATAGAAAAAAGCCGTTGATGGATCAATTTCTGTAGGTGGGTCTCAGCTTGGATCAAGACACTCGGATTTGCCAATGAAGTGTACTGCCTTGGAGGAGTAGGGGTTGTAGGGGAAGAACCAACCTTTTCCGGTTATGGGAAGTCCTATCGAGAGACTGGATTAAAGAAAGAAGAAAAAAAAGTAAAAACAACAACCTATAGACCCAGCACAGTGCCTATGAAGAATAATGAACGTGGACCGGATAGGAATAGGACTCATTAGGCAGAGTGGCTTTCTTGGAGGCTTGTCTTCTTTGAAACTTGAAATTCGTATTAATAAATATATGTTTCATGCATATTGATATATTGTATATATTAATTTATGAAAACATACTTTTTGTTTTTATGTCAACCATTGCTTCTTCACATAGGCAAATGATTCGGAAATTCCTTTGTTGCATGAGTACAATGGTACTGTGAAAGAAGCTGGAAGCACACTGGAGGTTTGTCTCAAAATTATATTTTTACTTATCTATGTTCTCAATATATATTCTAGGACTTGCTCATTACAGGAGGAGAGGAGGTTACTCTATGTTGCAATGACACGAGCTCGGAAAAAGCTGTACATCTTGCATGTTACAGTTGACTCTAACCGTCAGGCAGGCTATTTACTGTACCATGCTTAACTTTAAGCAATATCATTTTTTTGAACTGACCTTGCTTATACAGCTTCTGCAACCTTCACGTTTCCTCAGAGAAATTCCAGTTCACCTTCTTGAGGTGCAGGTGAGCAATACCATTGGATCTAGTTTTACTAAATCTAATCCTTACCTAAAAACTCAGCCGGTGGGAGAAAGACCGTCCCCACGGTATTGTTTGGAAGAAGAAACCTCAGTCTTGAACTACTTTGTGAACTGAAAACTATTTTTCCGATGGTAAGGTAAGAATACAAGTGGGTTAACCTAAAACCCACTCCACTCAACTTCCACCTAATTGATAGCTCATTTGGACATATGATATGATACATAGCCAAAACAACTAGGATGAGTCAATGGGTTGGCTTGGCCTTTGTGTCCCTAGACTTCTGAGTTCAAGTTGCCTTTATTCCCTACCATTAAGATTTCCCAATATGAGCCAATTTGCTTATTCTTTCATCAGCAGGCATACTCTTATGTAATATCTTGTATGTACATAATTCTTCTTCACAATTGTTTTGTTTTTTGTTAACTTGTAGGGCGAAGAGACTCTGAGAAAAATGCCTGAACGGTCTTCAGGTGATATTCCGTTTGATGACTCTGAAGGGAATATATCAATCGGAAAGCCAATTATGGGACAGAACGAAGCTTCACCTTATCCAGAACTGGCTCAAGGATGCCTTGCTAATGATTTCTTGAGAAAGTAAATCATCTTTGTATGATCTGATGTTTCATTTTTAATTTTGCTTCTTGTGGATATTTGGAGTTTTCTAGTGGTGAAAAAACATTATTTCTCCTTTGCATAATCATTTCAGTTTCTGAAGAACAGATTCATCATATTCATGCAAAGCTTTGCTTTGCTATGTTATTTGGTTTACATTCCCCCGCTAACTTAACTTGGTTCCTTATTCATTTTATAGGTTCGACATTGATGATAGATCGGTAGTCTCACATATATTTCATCATTGGGGCAAGAAGCAGGCATTTCAAAATCCAAAGAGATTACTTGAAAAGGTACTGAATTCTTCACAGTACGTGAACACTGAACACTCTGGAATCTGGATACCACCAGGCTAGGATACTCTGATGCCTTCCACTATCGCAGTGACCACGCGTGTGACATTTACCACTAAAGCTTTGGGATTGCCAGTGCCCTTCTATGCCTATTTCACGTTAGATGTATGCTTGAATTTTCAGATCAGTTTTGTGATTGATGAACGCCTACGTGGTAAAGGATACAAGCGCAAGGTGACCCCTTTTCCTCTTTCCCATATCAAAGCATCACCGGACTTATTGATTCTCCTATCAGTTTATATCTGTTCTTCATGGTTGTTTGTTGTTATCTCGCTGGCAATGTTATTTGTCATCATCTGTACTTTGAATGGGCGAAGGAACAATGACAAAAGTTCTCTTGTATTCGAGAGCTTAACCTGGAAAAAAACTGATGGCAAGTTTCTTATCCAGGATGTCTTGCGAAAGCTGAAGTCGTTCCTAAGCGGTGATGAAGCATTGGGCTACGCACAATATGTTAGTTTAATTATTGTTGTTATATTTCTCGGTATCATACCTGACAATCTTGTTAGTTTTCCTTACTAAATAAAATAATAATTCAGTAATGTGAACTTCAGGTTATCAAGTGGGAACAGATTCCAATAGAGAAGCGGAGCCATTTGATGAGAGAAAGGCAGGTGAGATCTTGGGCCATTACAAATATCTTGCACTATAGAAAATGGAGCTATTTATCTGTCCTTCGGTGGACCCTTTTGTGACCTTTTTGTGGTTTTATTTCAGGAACATTTCCAAAAGCAGAGGATTGAGAACTCTATGGGTTCGTCAGAACCCACAGCCAAGCAGGTCAGCTATCTCAGAACTCCTTGTTCATCTCGCTGCATCAGCATGTTAAGGGCAGACCCAGTGCCGGAGGCTCCCACATGAGTGGGGTCTGGGGAAGGGAAAAACCGAGGCAAGCCTTCCTCCCGCAAATCTGCGGAGAGGCTGCTTCGAACCCGTGACCTGGTGATGCATCAGCATGTTAGTTTGTCGGAATTGCATTGCTGTGCATCTGTGCTCTTTATGATTCTGCTTCTTGTTTTTGAAGCCCATGTTGCTCTGTATCAGAATACTAAACAGAATTCGTCCCTGTTTGTCCTCCAGATATCGTACCTTCGAAACCTGGGGTGCACCATCACTCCGACTTCTCGCTTGCACGCATCAAATCTTATCGAAAAGTACAAATCGCTCTGACTTGGTCGATGGAATTCGTGCTAGAACCATAAAGCCATACACCTTATATGTTTATGTACATGCTGTCCATACTATGATTGTAGTAGTGCCCACTCTATTGTAGCGTTGTGTACTGGATACATCAGGGTTGTATGACAGCTCCGATCATATCTATTTTCTGTTCTTAGCCATATTCCTGTAGTACTTGCTGTATTGCTGTGACACCAAAAGTGTTTGCTTCCCTCGGGCCTTGGCAGTGGTACTGGCTAACCATGTACTCCATTCATTCCAAATTATATGGACTCCATTATGTTTATTATTCATGAAATAAAAACCATTACACTGTAAACTGTTATTTAAGCAAATGAAAAAAATAACACACATATAAAGTTCTAGACTCAACACGTGACCCATTATTGTTAAACAAATTCAATAAAAAAACTGATACATATCAAGCTTTTTTTTTCGATCAATTCTGGGGAGCATCGCTCCACTTACTTTATTGAATGAAGGAGCCGTGAACACAGCTCAACTTTACAAGCATCCAACCCTGGCATACCAGGGGGAGAAATACAGTGGATTTTGCGATGGGAGAGTGTTACAGGAGTGCAAGACAGTCCTGGATGTACATTTTCCAGGTGTCAACCAAAGCTCTATCTCTCTTGAATCGGCAGCCCGAGCGATCAAGATCCTTGATGATGCCGCGGAAAACAGCAGTGGTCGGGAGGTCCTCATTGTCGAAGATCATAGCATTACGGGTTTTCCAAATGTTCCAGAGGGAGATGAGCATGACATCCATTCTCACCTTGGCGGGGAGAAGCAGTTCTAGGCCAATGCGCCAAGGTTGGCACTGTAGACCGTCAGGGACCCACACTCGCAGGCTTTGCCAAATCCTTCGCGCCCTGGGGCAAGAAGCAAAGATATGATCGCCGGTCTCTATGGTACCCGGGCAAGCGGGGCAGTAGGACTCTTCCAGCGGCTTGATGTGCTTTTCATAGAGGTTGCCCCGCGAGTTCATCCTATCGAAGTGAACAAGCCACCCAAAGAACTTGAGTTTGCCCGGCAGCCGACAATCCATTCGGGGCGAGCAGCAGTGTTAAGGCACCTCCGGTCCGGGGAGGGGATGAGGTGGACACCCCGAATGGATTCTTGGATGGTGAAAAGATCACAGGCAGCTTGAGTGGAGAGACGGGGCTAAAGGGAAGCGCCCAGACCGATGGATAGGGTGTCGCGGACGCTGGCAAGGGGTCTGCAGCTGTGCGTGAAGAGAGCCGGGAAGGTAGCTGCCAGGGGTTGCGAGCCGAGCCAGCAGTCGAGCCAGAAGGAGGTGCTGCAGCCATCACCCAGCACAACAGAGGTGACCAGCCTGAAATGAGGGAGTTCCTCGTGGACGATGCGTCCCTGGAAGGAGGTGGGTTCGCCGTCACCAAGATCGGGAGGGAAGTGGCGTTGGAACCAAGTCTTCCAAGGGATGATGTCAGGCCCCAGAAGCTTATGAATGAATTTCATTAGGAGGCACCGAGGCAGTGGTTTTGATCTTCTAAGTTTTTGACCCCCAGCCCATCGGCCTCCTTGGCGCGGCAGACTCGCTCCCAAGCAATCAAGCATTGAGAGCCGTTACACTTGTCACTCCCAGTCTAGAGGAAGGCACGCCACCGACTGTCGATCTTCTCACGCACCGTCTTGGGAAGGAGGAGGGCAAGCATGTAGTGGATAGACAGGCTGCCAAGGACTAAGTTCACCAAGATAACACGCCCACCCGAGCTAAGGAGCTTTGCCTTCCAGCCGGCCAAGTACTTGTCGAAGGAGGAGATGAGGGGCTGGTGTGGGAGGTATGTATGGCGTCGCTGTCGTGCAGTTCCTGAATATGGTTCTTGCGGCGACGCTCGGAAGCAGATGCGTGAAAGAAGCGGGTGTTCTCGTCCCAATCGAAAGCCATGCGGATAGAGAAGCGCTGACGCCAGTAGCTTAGCCTATCCCTGAGAGTCTTGGAGGGAGGCAGAAGCACAGGAACGGAGATTGTGTTCCTCAGTACACAGCGGCCTGCATTCTTCTAGCAGATCAAGGGCGTCGACGAGAGTGCGGAGGTCCATCTCGCGGATGTCGGGGGACTTGAGGCGCTTAGCCCAGGCCCTACATTCACGGTGGCACTCTTTGATACGCCTGCACAAGGGAAGATGGGGGCCCAATCGCGCCCAGGCGGTGTTCACCGCGGCAGCGAACCCAGGTTGACGAACCCAAAAGTTCTCAAAACGGAAGCAGGGTGACTTGGGGAGTCTGGTTCAGAGGCCTGGAGCGGGACATGATCAGAAGTTGTCTGAGTACGAGCAGTGAGAGTGGTGTTAGGGAACAAGGAGTCCTAGGCGTCATTCACAACGACTCTGTCCAGGCGGACCAAGGTGGGATTGTCCCGGCGGTTGGACCAAGTGAACTGCCGCCCGAGCAACGGGATCTCAAGCAGGGCAAGGTCGGATATAGTGGAGTTGAACCAGGCAGCCTCAGTGGCATGGAAAGCCTCATTGTTCTTGTCATCAGGGAACCTCACCAATTGAAGTCGTCGAAGATGATCCAGGGATGAGAATCGGCAGGGGCTAGAAGGGAGATTTCCTCGAGGAAGCCTTGCTTTTCGGAGTGCTCGGTCGGCGCATACACAGCCGTGCAAGTGAACTGGCCCCCGTCAGCCAGAATGGAGAGGGTGACCGAGACAGAGTGTAAGGTTTGGGAGGAGTGGCAAAGGCCGAACATGGAGGCGTCCTAGGCGAGGAGGATTCCACCGGAGGCCCGACGGCGTCGCGCGCAACATGAAGGAAGGAGCGGAGCTTGGCAGCAGTGGGGGAGGAGAGCTTGGTTTCTTGCATGCCGGCAATGGAGGGCGCTGCATTGATCAGTTCAGAGAGAACGTCATCACATTTCTCACTTTGGCCAAGGCCACGGACATTCCAAGACAACAGGGAGAAGGTTTTATGCATCAGTAAACAAGAGGAGCACCAAGGGGTAGCACGAACAGGACTCCATTGACGGCACAATTAAGGTAGGATACACGTTACAAGGGTCTCCTCCGAACCCTGACAGCAACACGCACACACTAGGAAGAATAGTAGATAGTGAGGTGAACAAGACACACGAGCCACCCCGAAGCTCGGACACAACAACATAAAAGTAAAGAAGAGGCCATAAGGGCGAGAGGCAGCTGCGATTACGGTGACAGAGAAGCTGCCAATGTCTCCGAGGAGACATCACACACCAGCGGGGACACCAGTGCCGGCATCGACTGGGAGGTCAATGCCGCAGACACGAGCAAGGCGACGTAGGCGAGACGAGGGGATGCGGGCCGGCGGGGGGCGCTGCAGGATGCCGGACGCCTCCAGTGCAGACCCCAAGGCGGAAGAAGCCTTGGAGAGGTCCAGCTTTGCGGCCTGGACACGAGAGGCCTTGGAGGTGGCATCCTCGTAGAAGGGGTTCTCCTTCGCGGCCAGACGGATGCTCCGGCGGAGCTTGGAGGCGTTGTCCGCAGCGCGCTTGCGGCGAGCGCGGCGACGCCTGATGCTGACCTCGTGCTCCTTCTCTGCAATGAGCTCCTCCAGGGAGGGGATGTAGGAGTGCAGGCCATAGGCAGGGGCGTCCTCCTCGCTCTCTAGGATGAGAGGAGGCATCTACGCCGGGGGAGGAGTGGGAGGGCGCACCGGGGTAGGCAGGTCCAGGATGACGATGCCCCACGGCGGGGAGGAGGACGTCGAGGGGAGCCTGCAAGTCAGCGCCTTCAGGGCAGAGGTGAAAGCGGTCCACAGAGGGATGGAGGGTTACAACACAGGGCCGAGGCAGCCGGTGGCGTGCTGACGGCTGCTGCCCGAGGCACCGAACAGGCGTCGCGTAGCAACCGAGGACCCGCCGGAGCTGAAGCGAGAGGCGAAGATGGATCGGGGAGAGGCGCCAGGCCCCTGCGGTGGAGTATCATTGGGGCCATCCGGGCCGTCGTCGTTGCCGGAGCCGCGGAAGACATGCGCGGTGGGGGGTGGGGTGCCTTCCGGGTGAGCCTAGAAGTCGATCACCCGGAGGCTTACGACAGCAGCGAGACCAGAACCAAAGTTGCGGAGGAGGAGGCGATCCGGGACGTCCTCCAGGTCATCCACCAGGAGAAGGACGCGGACGGTGAAGTCGGTGCCACAGAGGCAGTCGGGGTCGACGCAGTAGACGTTCCTGATGGTGCGAAACGCGAGGGTGATATGCTCTCTGGATCAATGCTCCAGCGGGAAGTCGAAGGCAACCACCTCAACAAGCAGGTGGTAGCGGCAGGTGTAGCGGAAGTCCGTGTCCTCGTGACGCTCCAGCACGAGCACGGTGTCGCCCATCCTGATGGGGGAGCGGCGGATCATGGCCTCCCTGAAGTACAGGTGCCGGAACGCAAGGAGCATGGAGCTACGGGAGGAGGCCGCCAAGGTGAATGGGGGGTCCCCGCCAAAACACTCTAGGGCGTGGAGATGAAGAGGCTCGGGTCAGCGCGGGCCGGCTCGACATAGGCGAAGGCGTAGCAGCGACTGGGCTCTATGTCGACGAAGGGCATGTGGACCTCGGCGTAGTCGTTGATGAAGGAGGAGGAACCGGCAGCCCGGAGGGGGGACCCACCGCCACCGAAGTGGAAAGGGGTGGGCTCACGCCTCGTGGTGGGACGGGGAGTGTTTGGTCCAGAGCGCAAGTCGTCGAGGAAGCAGACCACCAGCGAACGGGTGCGGTCGTGTTGCTCCGCAGGCGGGGAGCGAGAGCGAGACCGCGTGGCTGGGGGAGAGAGGGCCTGGCCCTAGGTGCGGCAGTCCACCAGGGGTGACTGCCAGGCACCACAACCCTGGCCGGTCCAGCTAGCCGTCAGGGCAGGAGCAGCAGGGCGGCAGGTGGGAGAGGCCCCCCAGCGATGCGGCCCTGGTGCAGGAAGTGGGAGCTAGCCATGGCGTAGTTGAAGCTACGGTGGCCGGTGCATAGGCAAATGCGGCACTTCACCGGGTCACGACACTCGGTGACTAGGTGGT